CCGAATGACCGTTGATGTACTTGGTGATTGAATGTATAACGAGATCAGCGCCGAACTCCAACGGCCGTTGGAAATAGGGGGTCACAAAAGTGCTATCAACGGCCAGTAAGACATTATGTTTTTGGGCAAGTTCAGCCATTGCTTTTATGTCCATGACTTTTAAAGTCGGGTTAGTGAGACTCTCAATCCAAATCAGCTAAAATTTGCGTTGATTTTGAGCCCCAATTTTGAGCACACTTACTTTGGTGTTGGGTTTGATAGTTTTTTCAATATCTTTTTCGTTAACGAAGGTGATATCGAGTCCGAACTTCGAACAGACTTGTCTAAAGAGCCGATTAGTGCCCCCATAGACGTCATCCCCGCAGATGATGTGGTCCCCGGCTTTGAAAAGACTAGCCACGGCTGTGGTAGCCCCCAGGCCTGAGGACCAGCACAGTCCATATTTTCCGTTGTCTAGGGTTGCCAAACATTTCTCTAAAACTTCTCTACTGGGGTTGCCGGAGCGACCGTATTCGTATTTCTGCAATTTTTAATAAAAAAAAAATGCACGACTGTTTTTAACGAAAAAAAAAAGTATTACCTTGAAATTTGCAGGGCCATATTGTTTGAAAGTTGTGGAAGACACCATGGGGGTGACTACAGCCATGGAGTCCCATTGTTCCGGTTCCTGAAACGCGTGAATTGCAGCAGTTGCGAAACCCTTATGTTGGGGAAGATATCCACTCTCGCCGGCCATTTTGAAGACTGAAAATTCCAATTAAAGATTGTTTCAATTTAAAATTATAATGACTGATTAGATTCAATAGAAAAAACATCACTGGGTTTAAAAACAATCCGCTTAATTTCAGTCGGCAACAAAGAAGCCTGTATTCTGAAGGTCGCACGAAATTGATTAAAATTAGTCATGTTATGTTAAAAATGGACCAATTTGATTAAAAAATCGACCACAGAATGGTTTATTTTTGAAAAAAAATTAAAATATCTGAGTATGTATTAATTTATTGTATTTATTGGGGGGGAATGAATGGCCACGTGTAACTCGAGTTTTTCGAATTCTACACACCTGCCACTAAAATTCATGACAACAGATCAATTTTTGATCAAATTTTACTAAAAAATTGTTATTATTCATGTTTTTTACCTCTAAAACTTGACTGGAAATTTTCAACACACCTCAAACTAATTCTACTGCTCAGTCTTTCGGACAGGTGCCTGAATAATGTTACCAAAGCCAAATTTATTTCTCTTTCACAATTTTGTCTCAAAATATTTTCATTCTTATTGTGATAAACCCTAAAAAAAGCGATAAAAATTGAACTTGATTTTATGCTTGTAATGCTGTAAATTATGAAAGATTTCGTCACCGTTAAGTGTTTTTTTAAATGTTATCAATTTGACGTCATTTATTTGCATACAACCTTCAATACTAGTGAAAAAGATTGAAGCTTTGGCGCTCATTTTCAAATTGGGGATTCAAAATGGTGGACTTTCTCTTCCGTCATGCGCAGTAACCTCTTGAAGTAAAGTTTCCGGTAAATATTTTGTTAACTTACTGTCGAGAAACATGAAATTTTACGAGTTGATTATTGGTAAAAACGGTCAATATTTGTCAAATACGAACATGTTGTTACAACTGTAATGTTTTTGAATTAATTTTTGATTTTGGAGCGTGCAATACGGTAGAAAAAAAGAAGCAAGCAACGTGCCGGCATCTTGAAATGTGAAGGCGTCGCGTTGAGGTAATTAAGATTGAATGTGCGTTAATTAAGCCCCCGATTGTAATTACAAAACCAATTAAGTATTTTTCTGCAATTATTTTAAAAGTACACAAAGTGAACGGCCCGTTTGCTTAATTCTGATCAATTTAAAATGGAAATTTTGTATCACAAATTCATGATGGCGGCTCAGGTTTCATAATGCTAGAAATGTTTTTGTGGTTTTAATTACATAAACAAAGTCAAAAAGCCGATATTCGTTAATTCACTCGAAAATTTTTGTTTTCGTTTTCAGTATTATTAGAAATGGTCATCAGTGATAATTAATTTTGATCAGAATAGCACGGAAATGGGGGTCCACGATTTGCAAGTATTTCTCGAAAGTCCTAGTTTAGAAGGAGGTGCCGTCTCTGTTGATTTATTAAAAATCGCCCGGAACGTAACGCAGCGTCAACAGCCCCACAATACGAACCGTAAAATTAGACCTATTGGAAACAAACTGAAACTCATTGTAGATGCTGAAAACTGCCTCGACCGGTTATATGGGGGCTATTTTTCAGGTAACCAGTAATAAGCGTCAAATTTTGTTTAATTGACATGTTTAGATTGGGCTTGTGGGGGACAATGGAATCGCATGATTCAGTTCCTATCTCTATTAACACGTGCTATAGAACGTGGTAACATTGAATTGGCTGTGGTTTTTAACGGTACGATAGAGTCATGTCGGATGAACGAATGGGTAGCGGAACAAGCAAACAACAGACAAAAAGTTGGAATGGTCTTGAAACACATAAATACCAAAGCTACACCACCGCCGAAGATCTGGTGGACGCCCCCGACGTGTCTCAGGTCCAGCCTTAGGATGGCTCTGAGACACTTAGGAGTAACTGTGGTAAGTTTGAGAAAGCCTCCATCTTCCATAAAGTAACACACGGGCGTTATGTAACCCATGTGATGTGTATGGAAGTAAAGCAATTTTACTGTGATGTCATTACGCTTTTATGAAGTCCAAACATTGCAGTATACAAATTTGAACGCAAGTTAATTAAGTGACCTTGATTAAAAAAATGGGTTGTAGATGTGTACCATGGATGACCACCACCAAGAAGTCATAGCGTATTGTCGGGAATATGGGTTCCATGGTCTTTTAGCAGACGACGCTGAATATGCTGCCTTTGACCCACCGCGATATTTTTCAGCCGAAAATTTAAAATTAACATATAAAGTAAGTGAATGGAGACATTTTTCTTGTCTTTTGACCTTCCAAATGTCGCTTGTTGGGATTTTATAATTGTCCTCACGAGTTGTTGCCGGAAGGAGAGTGATAAAACTTGGATGATGGCAAGATTATACTAATCTTGTCCTCACATCCGAGTTTTAACATTTTTTTCGTGAAATAAATTAATAAATGATTGCTAAAATAGTGATTGATATTTCAGGGCTCTTTGGAGACTAAAGAATTCATGATAAACGAACTAACTAAATCCCTTCAATTGACCCAAGACCAGCTTTGCGTAATGGCAGCTCTAATGGGCAATTTTTTGTTAACTGAAAGCGATTTACAAGACTTTCACAAAAAAATCGGTATCACAAACATAATTCGAGATAACAAAGTAAGTCATCTCGTGTGTTTTTACCCTGACTAATGTTTGATTTAGTCACCAGCTGAGTTTAATGTAAAAACCTTGGCCGATTTTGTACGGTCGTTGCCTCCACCTTCAAATATGGACGCTTTAGTTAATGCTATGCTCGGATATATTGACGAAAAACGTGCCTCTAAATTTAGACAGTCGGTTCAGTACTATCTCAATGGTACGGCTAGTGGTTTTCTTAAGTATTGTGCACCGGCAGCTACACCCAAAGACAAGAAAAATAATGCACAAAATAATAACGAGAAAGAAAATGATGATTTGGATGTCTCGGGGACCGAATTTGCGTCAGAAACAACGGAGCAAGAGGTGCGAAATAGATGGTTTTGAGTCAATTTAGAATTGTTTTTATTGCAGGAGGAAACTCTTCACAATTATAAACTAGCAACCGCGAACTTGGTTATGTCATCAGAGTATACTTTGGATCAAAACGGAACACACAACTCAAATAATGGTACTTTTTTGTTTACAATTTTTTTTGCCTTCCTTAAAAGCGCCTATTTATTTTTTTTTTCATAATTAAATAGGTTGTTGCACGGAAGGAGAATAACTTAACTCTGGGTGCGGACTTAATTTTGCTTTGAATTTAGTCCTCAATCTGAGTTTAAACATTATTTTTTCTTATTATTTTTTTGTAGTGAATAGTTTTGTTTTTAGTTTATTAATTTTTTAGATTCTTCTCATTTTAATGGACTTTTAAATGGTTCCATTCCCAACACTAATCAGAATTTGGCTAGCACTTCTAGCGGGACTAGAGTTAATCTTCTAATCAGTTCAAGCAGTTCAAACACCAGCAGTGTTCCATCGTCGCCCAAACATTCAGCTCAGAGTACACGTTCCACTGCTGGTAAGTCAAATTCAGTTGTAAGCCAAAACCTTCCAAAAAAGCACTCATTTGGTTGATCAATAACCAAAGGAGTTGTCACTGGAAGGAGAATAATTGAGCTCCGGGTGGTGATTTTGCTGCATTTTTGGCAACATCCTCAATACGAGTTCATACATTATATAAAACAAGAAAAATTGTGTGCAGTTCGGGAAAAATATTATTTTTTAGCCTTGTCGAATCTGGTGACGCCGAATGTTTCCCCCGACGTCCTTCGAACGGCGTCGCTACGCCACCAGAAAGGCCTAATGGCGTCCATGATTTTACACGTTTTGAGTACTCAAGAAGTGCGTCTGCCTTGTTTGATGGAGGACGAAGGCAACCGTGAATTTCCGCCGATCCACGACGTGTACCAGCCGCTTCGACAGCGCGTCTATGCAGTATTGTTTAATTTACACCATTTGCGTTATGTTCACACTAAGAAGAAAGAATCCGGGGAGATACCGGAAAATTCGTCTCAACCAGATGTCGTGGTCAAGGAATGGATTTACAGTCGATCGAATCCTTACCAATATCCTGAGGAAGTCAAAGCAGAACCCTTACCATGGGCGGTGCCAACGCTTCAAAGATTATGGTTTGGTCCGGCTCTGGATGATAAAAGACGCCGAATGAGGGCTTTGTTATCCTGTTTGAATTCAGATACACCTTTGATATTGAATACGGGATACGTGCCTCAGCATATGTTGATAATGGCGTGCGTTTTGCGCTATATAATGTCTCAAGATAAACCTATTATGAGACGACACGAATTGGACGCCTTTTTGTGTCAAGCTTTCAATGTTGATCTCATGAATCCTCAATACTTGCAAGAATTAACAGTAAGTCGTTTTTAAACACGGTTTAAAACATTACAATGACCTATTTTATTTAGCTCAACGTTGTTACTAGTCGTGGAGTACAGTTGGCAGCTTTGTTTATGCAAGGAGTTGAAATGGCACTATTGGCGAACGATGCATGTGGGGCCCCATTACCCTGGCTTATGTGTTGCCCTTGGTTATATTTCGACGGTAAACTGTTTCATTACACGTTAAACCGGTCTGCACATTCTAAGAATATATTGGAAGTGTGCGAAAATCATATCGAAAGAGTTGTTAAAGTGGAGAGAATGAGGAAGGCCATTTTGGAAGGCTTGGATGTCAAGTTTGCTAAAATGCCATTAGCACCATTTCCAGGTAGTTAAAAATATTTTCATTATAATATCACAATTGAGACATAATTTCAATAGGGATGCGTCCACCACCACCTCAAGGCCTCCCGACCATGCCCTTACCCTCAAATCGTATCCCTGCCGGTATGCGACCCCGTCCCATTTCGTCTCGAGGAGGCCAATTGCAAGTCGCTGGGGTTGTTGTGGGTTCATGGGGTGCTAATTACGGATATCAGCAAAATATAAGGCAGCAAGGCCCATTAGGGGGATATCAGGGACGAGGGCGCGGCATGATGGGGCCTCCAGGACCCAGTAATTTTAATCAGCAGAATATGCCGAGAGGTAGGGGACAACAACGCAAACCTGGACCACCGACATTCCCCGTCAATAGGAAAAATAACGTAAGTTGGGGTGAATATAGAGCGAATGCCGTTTCAAGCGTTGAGGGGGAGTAACCTTCCAAAAAAGCACTCGTTTGGTTGATTGATAACCAAATGAGTTGTCACTGGAAGGAGAATAATTGAGCTCCGGGTGGTGATTTTGCTGGATTTTTGGCAATGTCCTCAATACGAGTTCAAACAAATTTCTGCTAAAGGATAAAATATGAGCCGGCATTCGTAACAAATATTCCAAAAAATTCAGATTTTACCAATGAATTATTTGCAGGCAAATAAGAAGCGTAATAATGCGAACAAGGGCGGCAACAAGGCACAGGCGAATCAGGAGCACACGCTCACAGTTAAAACCGAGAGCGGGTGCGTTTTACGGTAAAGTCATTCTCCAAATGCGTTAACGTGTGTTTTGAATATTTTTTCAGAGACATTCCAGCTGACGAAATCATCCTCAATAGTGATGGTGCGGTAAACACTGGAGGAAAGTCGGAAGACTGTATGAAGAACAGCGAGCATAAGGGTCAAGGCGATGCTCCGAATCTGATTAATTAATTATGAAATGAAGTGTATGTGTTGTGTTTTTTTAGTCGCTGGATTTTTTTTTATATTTTTTTAAGTATACTTTGTTTACGAATTCGAAGACTTCTCGAAAGTGGAGAAGTGAAGCCTTATATACAGTCGATTAAAGTGTTAAGAGACACGGTGTGGGAGACTGGAGAGTGTGAGTGTCTCGCGTTATCATAAGTGACTGACTGGTTTTTTAAATCGCGTTAGCTCAACAACGATAATTTAGCGGTGACGGTACGTCGAATGTAAATTTAGGGTTGTAAGGTTGGTAGTACCGACGCCGCTCAAGCTGCGTTCAGATGAAAATCTGAAACGCTGACTGATTGTTTGAGAGCATATGTATATTTTTATATATTTGTTACAACTGTTATAATTATATATTGACTGAGAGAGTGCTTTTAGCACTGCTGTGATCATATTTATGGTATTTATACGTTTAGATCTGTTGTTGGATCGCAAAATAAGTCGTTGCGTGTGATGGTTAACGATTTATTTTGTTCGAATTGAGAGTTGGTTTTGGATGGTTCCCAGAAATCGTGACCTTTCGGTATATGCCAATTACCAGTTATTTGCAAACGCTCTGTATTTGAAAATTGACATTAAATCTTGTCCATTGTTCTAAGACAACTTTAATCATGCATAGACTTCATGTAAGGAAATTCGATGTCAAAACCAAATTACTTTTTCATCGAAACGAAGTTTTTTGCTGTTTAACTCTGACTTGCGCTATTGCTCATGGGAGACAATATAGCCGAAAATTAACTGAACGCAACTTTGAATCCAAATGATTCTTAATTTACATCAGAATATTGTCAAAAGTAAACAAACTAATCGCTAAATTGAACAATACTTACAATTTTACGTAGCTGTTTATTCAACTATACACATGTAGAGAAAAAAAAAAGATTACATAATTTAGCTCACCAATAATAGACATTGTATTAGTAATTTATCCGTTCTGGATGGAATTATCGTAATGTTCATGAAATGTGTAAACTTTTCGTTGTAAAATTGTTACGCTTTCTTTGCTGATGATGGTGTATTAACTCCGCCGACGTTACATTTTCCTTAATTATATATTATTGCTTTTAGTTTCCTTGGGATACGATTTTTTTTTTAGTTATTGTGTTAAATTTAATAATTATGCAAAGTTTCCCTTTTTTAATCATTATATGTACATTCTATGCTTAAACTATTTAGATATTTGGAAAGTATGTAGAGTATTTACAATTCTTTTTTTTTTTTTTCTAATTCACAGTAACTGATATATTTAACTTTATATATGTGTATATTGGCTCTATGGGTGAAAGGGCATCCATATGAATAAATATTAAAGTACCTATATTTAGATAAAATAGTATGTGATTTTAGAAAACTTGGGACAATATCACAGAATTCTAGACTGTTTTTTTTTCGTTTCCAGGATAAATTTATCAATGTCAGAACCTACCGCTTATTGTCTTGATGTAACTTTCTGAAATCACCATAAATTCAAAGTTTTCACTTTTTATTGTAATTTATAATTATACAAAATAAAAGATTGCAATTCGATTTGTTTGTAACGATTTACGCAACAATTAACTCTTTACAAACAATTGAAATGCGATTTTGATGTGGAAGATATGCTGGAAAGGTACCACCAAGTATCTGTAAGATGCAAATGAAAAAGTTTGAATGATTTTTCATGCTTTTTATTCACCTTTTCCCATTTCCTATCCTAAAAATCATGGCGGCTTTTCCCTAGTCGCCATGCAACAAATCTGACATTCAAAAAATTCCAAAATCGAAATTTTTGTGTTGAAATTTTGTGTTCTCAAAATTTGTTGTTTTTCGGGAAAATGGCGTGTCATGGCACCAATAATCAGGGTACGTCCTTACTGGCCGAACTCAGTGACCTCGTACATCAAATTGGTGACTGGTTGGTACCCATTTTTTTCGATTTTCCGCCTTTTCTAACTCTTGACCACAGCAATAGCCAACCTTGTAGCTGCTGCCCACCTCCCCCATGCATTCCTTGTAATGTTCCCTACGCCCAAGTTACCATGACTTGCCCACCCCCTATTCTGGTCCCGACGCAGCCCCAACCTGTGAAGCCCCTTCAACTTCCGTGTCCTCCGGCCCCTCCGAGCCCACCAATAGTAATTAATGTTCACTCCAAAATCATAAAATAACTAGTAACTTTCTTAGCTAACTCCCGAGGAAGCAGAACGAAGTCGTTACGACAATTTTTACAACAATTACAACATCGATTGGCATAGTGAGAGTCCCGCCTGTAAGGATCACGATCGTGATCATTGCTGCACCCCCGATAAACAAAGGGGGCAAACAGTTGATGGCAAAACACCCTGTTGCGAAGATTACACGAAAAATAAACAAGATGAATGTTGCCCCCTCCCTGGGTGCCCCACGGGATTCAAACCGTGTACTATGAAGTTAACTCCGCCTCCCGGCTGTCATCCTTGTGGTGTTTGGTGTGCTGAAGTCCAACCCTGTCCCCCGAAACCCAAAAAGAAGAGCAATAAATATGAGCCGGGACCCTGCACCAGGCCTTGTTGTAAGCATTGGAAGCCTAAAGAAGGGCCGTGTCTTTATGACGATCCTTGTAAAGCTCATTGTTTTAATCATCCTCCAGGAATTAAACCTTCTGGGAGGTACCCGTGATGTTTACGTGTCGTCAAGTGTTAGGTAAGAAGTAAAAATGGTCAATTGTATTGTTTATTTCGGTATTTGTCTATGATTTGTAAATAAAACTAAATAAGGTAATTGAAATATTTTTGGATTTACAATCATTATTACATAATTAATCAATATAACTGATGAGATAATTATAAGCCAGGCATGATGAAAGCGACGTTGTCTAAGGTACTCATGAGTTGTTCAGGGCTGCAGCAATTTTCTTGTAATTCAGGGATTTGTTGAGTGAGGCAGAGGAGGGGTCCCAGGGCGCAAAGTAGGGAGTCGAGGAGGACTGACAAGCTCCCAGAAACAGCAATTTGACCCTAAAATAATAACCGTACAAAACTGGAAACATATTCAACAATTTTTTGAGCACCTCGTGCTCTTTAAGTCTCTCTCCAATTATAGTGAGACTTTCCCCCAACAATTTCAAATGAGCGGCCACGTCAATGGGTTTAATACCATTCACTTTATAGCTATCTTTCCCTCTGGGACTCGGGGGTGAAATACTTGACGTGTCATAAGACAAACTCCCGGGCGATGTTTTTGAAATCGGAGTCTTCTTCCCCGTTGCTTTGGACCCACCTTTGCCACCCCCTAAAACGCTTAATCAAACCCCCGAATGTAAATTCACGTCTTACTTGGATGTTTATCGGTTTTAACAATTCTGCCATCCTTGATAATTAGTCGTTTTTTAGAAGTGTCTGTATCGAGTCGTTTGAAACCCCCTGTTTCTTGTTCATCAAAATCGCTGTCTGTGTCTACAGAATCAATACTCGATTCTGTATTCGCGGGCAATTCGTATTCACTTTCGTAATCGGACTCACTCGCTTCGTCGTAATTTTCAAAACTGTGATCCGATTTGATAAAAACCTTCAAAGTTTATGTTAGTGTATTGATTAAAAAAAAATGCTATTACATCTTCGGGACGTGGCATTTTCCGAGGTGGCTGCACATCAAAATCCGATTTTCGTCCAATCCCTTGTCTTTTATTAAACGACCTATCAATGTCATCCGGTGATTCGAAATCCATCAACTTTGACGACTTTTTTCGCACTCTGCCGCTCCTCGAAACACCTGTTACTTCTAAATTTATTGTTTCCATTAACACATTGTCCAAACAAAACGATAAGAAATAAAAATAAGAAAATAAAACACTACATTCTCATAACATAATTTATTAAAAAAATATACAAATAAATATTATGAGGTAATCGTGTCCTCCTGGAGCCAACCGTCTTCATCACTTAAAAATCTCCTTTTCACAGTTGTGTTCATGTAGGGCCTTAGGGCCCACTCTGTATCAGCAGCGTCTGCATTGTCAAGAGTCCCTAATTTAATTTCATATAGGCGTAACTGAAATCGAGGCCCCACTTCTGACAATTCAATCTGAAAATTATTTTTTTAACAAATTAATTTAATTGTGTTGGTGTAAATACAAAGAACTTACCTGTTTATCAACTGTTTTGTAAGTGTGGTGCCTAAAACTGATATAATCGTCATGATTCGCGAAAGTGATTATCCGTTTGGAGTCCTCCTTCGGCACCGGAAACAAGTACTTCAAAATATTCGTGACTCGTTCCCCTAGTTTTGTTTTAAAATTATGAAAAATTAAGTGGGGGTACTGCTCCGACATGGTCCCCAAATCGGGGATATCATGCCTCATGACAACATCCGACATTGTGAAATAAGCCGTGGGGCCGTAGGGCAAATGGCAAACGACCAGACTATCCGGGACCCCCCTGTGCTCATGCACTACAATAAAATCCGTCACGTCGTTGGCCCTACATGCATGTATCAACTGTTTCATCTCGTAGTTGCCCCGATTCATCCTTTGTGCGTTGGGAAAAATCAGTCGCAGTTCCTTTACGAACATTTTGAGTCTCGAGCTGGGGTCTCGACTGGTCGTTATGACAATTTTGGGGTCTTCGACCCCCGCGTATCTGTACTCGTCGTCGATAGAGCTGGCGAGGGCCCCGCCACTCTCACCGCCGAGTTGGACGGCGGCTTCGGGCCCCGAATCTTCCCATTCAAGCTTCTTGGCGTAGTGGAGAGCTTTCTTTTGGAGGTCCCCATGGATGGGGATGTTTTCTTCCAAACTGCGCTTGATGCGGTTCTTCTTGTCTTGGATGGATTTCTGCCGGTCTTCGACGGTTTTGCGGTAGAGATACTCCCGGCGTAAGCGGGCTTGGCGGCGTAACATTTTTGAAATGTATAACCTCAAAAACACGTGCACTTGACAGGTGACAGTAAACAATCGCTGCTGCCAACACGAGGAAAAACAAACGGAAAATTGTTTGTTTATTAAAAAATTGGGCGCAAAAGTGTCTCTTATTGAAAAATTATACAACTATTCGAGGGAGAAATAAACTTATGCGTTTGCGACAACTTACTATTATTTAAAGATTACTAAAACTAAAATTAACAACAAACCTTCCGATTTTTGCTTCTTAGCTTGAAAATTTTCCATTGCTTATCACACCGCGCTATCACTTTAAACCCACATATTTCGTCACTTATTTAACTGTTTCGAGTGCTAAAATAATTGAAATTTCGTTATAGGATAATTATTCCCACAATGTTTGGGAACTTGGGAAGTGTTGTCAAGTTAAGTACGAAATCCTGACGCAGCGAAAATCAATAAAGCCGAATCCCACGAAATACTATATTTCGAAAAATGTTTTCATTATGAGCACAGTTATCAGATTATTAAGTAATAAAACTGTTTAATGGTCAAGTAAGCAAACAAGTATTAGACAATAAACTAAAACATGTGTGTATCAATTTCTTCAAGTAGTCCTTGGGGGAAATACATACCCACTGTAGTTATTACCAAAATGAAATTCAAAAAGAGAAAAAATTATCGTTACAGATGATCCTTGATACATTTGACGGGACAACAGTGGGGGTATGGCTTTCTTAAATCTACTGGGATATCTTTGTAACAGTTTGGAGCCCTCATTAAACGCAAAGCACATCTAAAACCAAATAATTAAATTTAAACGTAAATCTCTATAAATTTAGACCTTCTATCATAAAATATAGACCCGTTAGGATAGCAATAAGCCATTTCACATTTCCCTAAGACCGGTAGTTTTTTATGAGGCTCTAAATGACCCAATCTTTCGTCAAAGCATCCAACTTCTATTACATTTATGAATTAATGAATAAACTGTTAATAAGTAATAAAAATAACACATACTTCGATTTGAATTGGGTGTGGAGAATTTATATCCTGGTCCTGCGCCACAGTGAATTTGTGAAATACACAAAGTTAATATTAAAAGAGACTGCATTTTTAGTTTGAAACTATACGCACGTTTAGTAATTTGTTAAATTTTACATTGTTCATTTTATTAGTGATAAGTTTGAGTAAACACCAAAGCAATTAGTAATACAAATACACAAGTAAAAAGTGCGACGTGACTAGAAATATACAACATAGGTATAATTACAGAAATGTAAAAATCGTTGTAAAATGAGAGCATATCTATTTTTTGTGTTTTATTATACATTCATAAAAAAATATCCAACACTTGTTGGGTAATTTATTTCATTAAAAAATTACAAAGTAATAACTAATAACTACTGTTCGGCGATCGATTTTATTTTCTCGTTGGAAAATTTATACACATAAAACTTTTATAGATTTTGGATGTTGTCAAATTTTGAAATTAAAAGCGAAATAAAAAGTGGAAAATACCGAAGAATTTGTCTTAGAAATTACACTAAAGACAAAATTATTTCTATTAGGTTTTATTGGGTAATACTACAGTTTATACAGAGCGTCCTTCACTTCTTCTAAATTTGAAACATTACTTTTTTTATTTGAGATTGTATTGTATTTTACTCGTATTGTTCTTCGGAGTGCTATGTTATGGTTAATAAATAGTATTACATATTAAGTTTTGTCTTCTTTCATCTTCATTTTTGAAATACTATGTGGTATTGAAATAAATATTGAAATAAAACACTTGTGATTTTATTCATTCATTTTGAGAATGAACTTCATAAAATTTTATTTTCTAAAAATAGAAAAAATCTCTCAAGAGTTAAAAAAAGATGGTAGCCCAACCAGTCTGTCCTTAGTTGTGCATTTTCTGGGACAACATTGCGGGTAAGTTTTCTCTTTGTCAGCACAAGTCCAGGATTTATCAACAGGATCACAGCTAAAACAAAAAATAAAACCTATGGCAAATCTGAAAAATAATGAAACCTTATTATTTGCATCGATCCAGACTTATCTTCAAGACAATAGGCTTGTTCACATTTTTTTGGAACCGGGATTTTTTCTCCAGCTTTTAAATGGCCAATTCCATCTCTATAGCAACCACCAGGTTCTATAACATAATTTTTTTAACTTGTATCTATTATTCAAAAAGTCTTACTTCGTTTTGGATGAGGCGATTCCTTATTAGTTGCTGCTTCAACGTTACAATTAAATTGGAAAATGGCTAAAGTAAGTACTACTGCTAGAAGCATCGCCTTTATCATCATGTTTTCTATCTCGAATAACTAGGTTGGGGGGGTTAATTTCGGTTTTTATAGGTAGAATTTGACTATTAAAAAACACTAACAGATTTATTGCAATGGAATGAAGCAATTCGTAGTTTTTATTTTCATTGCAATTTTTGGTATTCAAGGTAAAATTTTTATAGAAATGACTGACTGCTTTTTGTGTTTTTTTATATTATTTGACGTAACAATAAAATGCAAAAAACTGGCATCTGATAGGATACAGTATCCAATACACAATATCTCTAGCCACATCAAAATAGTAGACTGAAATTCGAATAGAAACAATTTTTGCCGGAAATAATGGCTAATTAAATATTTTAGAAATTAAAATAGAATAAAATGTTGTCTGTACGGGTATAATTGTCGATAATATCCCTCCCTTCGATCGGGCTTTAAACATATACAGGGTGACCCAGCAAGTTGAAAAAGTCCATTAGACCTTTAAATGGCAAAATTTAAAAAAATGTATAGGACCTTGATAGATACTAATATAGTGCATCACTTAAAATTATTTTCAACCATACAGCATGTCCCAAAAATAAGTTACGATACAAACTTATGTGTTTTTAAATGAAACACCGTATATTTCTTTGCATTTTTAGATGTAGCGTTTTAAAACAATGTTTTTACGCTAAACTTTTATTCGTCGATTTCGCTTAGTTTTAGAAATAAAACCTTTTTTTTGACAAAAACAAAATTTATTACACAAAAACTAAGACAGCTAGAATATTTTTTTTACTTCTACAAAGAAGAAAGTACAGAACTTAAAGCTGAGGCAATTTTTTAGTGTTTTGCATTTGTAAAGATTAATAAATTAAAAATAAATAAAAGTTTGTTGAAAGTTAAATAACACCACGGATTACTTATCCGTTGATTTATCCAGAGATTGTAAAAGTCGTTATAAATACTGAAAGTCGAATGATTTTATTGTAAAAATAAAGAATAATGGATTCAGTTTAACACAAATGTGATTATTAAGTGATATTTCTTCCATCTCTTGTGCTACTTACTGAAACAATATTAATTTTTTTAATGTTTAACGTTAAAAATCTTTTTAAATATTGATTATAGACACCTAAAAGTAAATAATTTTGAAAAACAATTTAATAATCTTTAAAATGCAAAAACAATAAATAGCGTGTTCCATTTAAATTTTTTAAGTTATTGAACTTTTAAAAAAACCTTAATTTTTTTATCTTTGCAAATGCAACACACTAAAAAATGTTACAACCTTATAGCTTGTACCTTCTTCTTTGCAGTAGTAAAAAAATATTTCTAGATGTCTTAGTTTTTGTGTAATAAATTTTTAAAAAGTGCAAAAAACAGTCTTATTTTTAAAACTAAGCAAAATCGACCAATAAAAGTTGTCATAAAAATTTACACCCAAAAACGCTAAGAAACATATGGTGTTTCATTTAAAAAAACACAAGTTTGTATTGTAACTTATTTTTGAGACACGCTGTAGAGTTGAAAATAATTTTAGGCGATGAACTAGATTAGTATCTATCAATGACCTGTATATTTTTTTTTAATTTACCATTTAAAGGTCACTAATGGACTTTTTCGACTTGCTGGGACACCTGGATTTCCCCGGGCCTTCATAAAGGCAAACAAAGTTTAATTTAAAGGATTGTTTTTTTAGGTAACACTTTTTTAGGTAATGTAACACARCATTCGTTTTACGCCAATTCAAACWCACCTTATATTAACTGATTTTTTATATGTTACACAATCTTAAGGTCGATTAGTATCATTTGGTTTAAAAATRGGATAATTACATCATCATGAAATATTTTATTAATTCAGGTAGGTAAAAAATAATTTGACAAACATTTATATCTTTAATCGTCTTCAAACGATAAAATTTTAAGGCTGTAAAAATCAGCCATGTAAACAGCTTATTGGACAACACTCTGGAAAAGATTTGCTAATGTCTAACCGTTTCGGAGTACAGTTGGGGTCCTCGTTATAAACAGGATTACAACTAAAACATAAAAGTTAAACTCAAAGTTGAACTTAAAGGAATAATTTGAAACCCATAAACTTCAATTTGTCCGGTAAATCTGCATTCCAAAGCAAAACAATATTGTTTTGCAACTTCACCACCAATATTCACATCTTTCAATACTGGGTCCATACATAAACGCTCATCAACTAAATTTAATGCAATTAAAATTTTTTACAAGGATGGTATTGTTGGTAAAGACTTACCTTTTTTCCGATCAAATGTGATTTTACGCGTGACGCTCATTACAGGATTGCAATAAACATTTGAAACAAATAAGACTAGTATCACTCCCAAAAACACATTCATTGTGTTGAACTGCACAATTGCTCCTTGTTTTCAATTTTTATAGTTTTCGGTTGGTATTATCGTAAAAAGTGAATCACAAGAATGCAGTAGGTACAAATTTTATCGCCAATTAAAAACATATTTCTTAATTTGTTTTTGCTGTTAATTAATAAAGTGACTGTACTTCCTTGCGATGTACAGGTTTTTCCCTAGTATTTAATCTTGAAATTATTGTCTTTATTTTTTTGTTTCTTTAGTAAAATTCAAATTACTTCCTACCTCTTTGTCGAAGGTTTTGAGTCGATTTAATAAATCAGTTTTTTGAAAACCAAATTAAAAATCCTAAAGTGTAAATAAGCCAAAAAACTTTTGCTCGTATAAGCGAAGAAATTTAATCAGGATTTTAAAGATTGTAAAAAGGCCAGTCAGTTCAGGAGAGTCACAGATAACAGTTATATTTATACAGGATGCGCCAGAACTCGCGCCCCAGAGAAAAYTGCCATATAAGGTAAGATACTAGGAACATGGAAAAAATGTTAAAAAAATTTTATCTATAAAAATTTCGAAGTTATAAGGKTTTAAAGTTTGCACTTTGACTCTATTTATTTCTGTTGGAAAAATAATTTTCCAAGTTTTTTTGCTATAGGCTATTAAAAGAGGAAACAAGGAAGCTGTATCCTAAATTGTAACTCTGTTCAATGTTATTTGTGGCGTTTATTGACAAAATTTTTGTCCCTTTACTAAATAATTGTAACAAAACATATACAAGATCATCAGTATCATTAAATAGACATAAAAAATGTCAAATGTCAAAAAATAAATGTCAAAATTTTTTGACTGATAGAATTTTTTAAACATTTTTTTCATGTTCCTGATATCTTACCTTACTTGAAAATTTTCTCTRCGGCGCGAATTCTGGCGCACCTGTATAATTCTAGATATGACTCTCGTCTAAGCAATTGGGTTTTAAAAATGCCCTCTGGCCCTTCTGGATTATATAATTGTGGCATTGCTGCAATAATTTTGCTTCCTTGTTTATACATTCAGTTAAATATTTTATTCTTATTATAAATAATGTATTAAAATCTAAATTACTAAATTAGTTCCAAGTTCCAAGATAAAAAAAGGGTTTATATCTTAGATATTCAGCTTCAAGTAAAAAATGTACAAAGCTAGTGGCACTAGTCCGGCTTTCATCATCCTAATTTGGAGTTTTTAACAAAAGATTGAAACGTGTTTCTGTGCTTATGTGGTTTTTAGAGGCTATTGTGTCTATTATTAACCGTAAAATGGTAGTATACAAATCCTACAACAATGGCTTATTTCACTAAAGCATTTTTTTTTTGAATTTACGATTTTTACTTTACAGTAAAAACATWCAAAGATACTCCCTCTTCGAGTTAASTACAATAATAAAATTGGTCCAGATTTTAAAGATTAAAGAATTTTGGTTCTTTAGTAGAGACCAAACTTAAATAAGCGGTATATTTGCTACAAATACTTATTTTATGGTTTTTTTATAGGACCTTTTCTAGATTGTTTGCTAAGTTTATAGAAAATGTTTCACTAAAAATTTTTTGGACAAATTCAATTAAAAATCAAAAGTGCAATTCCGTTGAGAAATGATTGTCAATAAAGTGACGATTTTCGCAAACGTATTCAGACTGAGAGTAAAGAGCAACACTAATAATTAGCAAGAAAATGAACAAAATAACCGCTTTAAAACTAATGAAATAATAACAATGCTTATTGTATAAACAAACACCACGCGTCAGTGTTGAGATTTTCAAAAATGTTTAATAGTTTAATCAGTGCAATTAGTAGTGCAAAATATCGAAGTAAAAGTAAAATTGCTCAAAAATAGAATTTTCACTCCATGGTTGAAAAGTAAAACTTTTACTTGTAACATTTAGTCATAAAAGTGGTCACTTTTATAAGGTTTGAGGATAAAAAAATAAATATAAGTAGGTGTCTAGTGCCTTTAAATAACATTTTAAGGAAACAGTTTTTCGTTTAAGTAAATTGTTTATTTTATCATTCATATAACACTAAAAACCAATTCAGGCACAGACGATTCGACAGCACTCTGGATAAGGTTTTTTAAGATCCACCGGCTTTTGCACACAATTTGGCCTGCTCAAAGCCACGATACCACAACTGAAAAAACAAAATWATCTCAAACAATACAAACTAATTTAAACCTGATGTGTTCCATCCATCCAGTAGAATCGCAAGTCATTTCTGCACATTTTCCAGGCATTGATACTACAGCACCGGCTGTTAAATGCCCGACTTTTTCATTAAAGCATCCCCCAGGTTCTAAAATTTATGGCGTTTGTAAATTTTTATAAAACTTGAAAGAACTTACTCCGGTTTGGATGGGGTTTATATCGTGCAACTGCAGCTTCAGTGTTAAAATTTAGCAGGAAAATGGATAAAGCTAGTACCACTATCAAGATTGCTTTTACCATCGTGACCTCGATTTTTTTAACAAAACTGAAGAGTTCCTGAGTTTATATAATTTTGGGGACTGCTATTTTCGATTAACAATAAAATAACCGTAAGGTCGTATAAACTGTATAAAAATGCAATAACAATGTTTTATCACGACAAAATTAATTATTTTTTGTAATAACCACTATGGTAATGGTTATAGAGGTCGGAAAATACATCATTTCATCCTTCCCTTGGGAAGTGATTTATGTAGGACTGCCAACGTTACGATCAACATTGTTAGAAAGACAGATATTTCATTATTTAAACTTTATCTCACTTGTGAATAATATTTGATTTCTATCACCGAAAACAATGGTCTAAGGTAAAAACTCAACCTGTAAGATAAAAAAATAAAATTTTTCGAAATTTTTGTTTGTTTTTGAGTTCTACAAAATTTTTTATTTTTTTAAATGGTAACATAAATTGCGATTTTGTCAAAAAAATCGCATAACTTAAAAACAAAACATGATTTCGTTTTCAAAAAACGATCACATTTTTTATATTACTTTAATTTATATTAATTACACTGCCCAACAAATTTTCTTTTATTTTTTGTGATTGATCTATTGACACGTGTATCAGGGTACATTAACATCTCTAATTACGAATTTGATAAGAAAAATTCTCCATYACGTWCAGATTTTAAGTTACAGGAAAATAGTTTTCTCAAATTTTATCGTAAAAATTGTTTATTTCAAATAGAAATTAATTAAATAGACGACGAAAAAAATTAATTTATTCACTAAACAAAAACAATGTTAAAGATGTATAAGATTCTATCATAAATCTGTTGTAGATGAGTTTTTTGCAAAAGCTGACTTTTTTTTGTAGGGTATTTTAACTTCCCTTATCAGGAACCAGCAGTAATCCCCCATCACAGCTGGATCCCATCTCCTTTGGTACCTCTTTTCCATCGTCAATATATCCTGGTGGAACCTTTCCCCTTGCTCGTCACTAACGGCATCCAAATTTGGGGGAAGAAAATTAAATGAGAATGGAGAAAATGAATTTTAAGTGTTTCGTTTTTCGGCAATTTTGTCGAGCATACTTACATATATACGTAATATCTTAAAATGCCTAACTTTAAAATCTGACGTGCTATGGAATTTTCTTTATCATTTTTGAGTTTAGCACATAGAATTAAACAAAAAACAACTATTTTCTTCTCAGTCACAAAATGTTTGTTGGCTAGTGTTATTATTTTTTGGAGGAAAATGATTTTTTAAAAATCACTTTATATTCACCCTGTTTACAGAATATTCTTTTTTGGACTGTAAAAACTAATGTAAAATTTTTATGGCTTGATCAAACAAGATTTTATATTACAACATTAGATTCTTATTTTCCCTTTTTATTTATTTCATGCTAACTGAAAACTTATAACATTTAAATCATCCGAAAATTAAAATTTAATGTTGAAATAAAACAAAAAATATAAAACGGTCATAAACAAAGATTAATTTTTTTGCTTTTTTGATATTAACATTTTTATAAACATATTATTAAAAAAAGAAGCTTTCTGTATCAATATTTATTTCATTAGTTCATTAGTAATGATAATTACATGTAGTGGTTGCCCATCTCGGGACAGTGTATTGGACAACACTCACGCCAAGGCTTCCAAGGCTCTAATGGTTTCTCTTTAATACATCGCCGGATACCTTTGAAAATACGTGGTCCACACCTAAATAAAATTAAAATAACCGAAATAAATAACTATATACGTGTTATCTTACTCAAAAACTGTCACACTTCCATCAGGATGGCATTTCAAAGACATGCATTTGTCTTTAGGGTCAGTTTTTCCTACCGAAAGATGACCATATTCTTCGTAGTAACACCGTSCAACTTCTGATTTAAAAATTAGTAACGAATTGTTACAAAATATAAATGAAACTTACTTCGCAAAGGATGGGGTTTGTGAAGAGTGAATTTTACATTACCAGCGCCAAAARTAAGTTTGAATATGTAGAAACTTAAAAGCAGGATTGTTAAAAACAACTTCATCGCTCTTAGATGTCTAATTTTTTAGATTTAGGACTTGATATGATGCATTATCAGATATTTGGTAGTAGGTCATAAAAGTAAAACTAAATTTTGGAAGCACAARTGTTTTATTTTACTGTTTAAATACCAGATYTAAGTTGCAATGATAAAAACTGAAGCAATATAAAGCGGTCATAAATAATAAGGATTCAGTTTTTTTACTTTTTTAATATTATATTAAAAAAGAAGCTTTCTGACTCAAGATTTATTTGATTAGTATCTATAATTACATATAGTGATTGCCCATTTCTGGACAATGAACTGGACAACACCTACGAAATGGTTTCCAAGGTTCTAGCGGTTTCTCTCTAACACATCGTCTCATGCCTTTGAAAATACGTGGTCCACACCTGTGATAAGAAACATAAATTCATTGCAACTAAAAATTGTGAAATCACTCGAAAAGTGTTATACTGCCGTTTGGATGGCATTTCAAAGCCATACATTCTCCCTTAATATCAGTTCTCCCTACGGAAAGGTGACCGTATTTTTTGTTGTAGCACCTTCCAACTTCTGAATGAAAAAATATATTTACTTGGGATTTTTTATAAAGCAAGAAACTTACTTCTCGAAGGGTGAGGTTTCAGGAGCGTCCATTTTATACTGCTGCGAGCAAAACTAAGTTGCAGGATGCACAAACTTAAAATTATCACTGATAAGAAAATATTCATCGCTTTAAAAACTATTTTGAAAATAAGATTTTCAATTTACGAATGTGTCTGACTTTGTAGTGATAGTAGTCGAAACAACAGTAAAACTTATTAAATCGTGAAGTAGTAATAAAAAATATCTATTTTTATGTGTCTCCAAAAAGTATTTGATGGAATAGGTAGTATTATTATATTTTACAAATAGAAAACGAGAATAAGAAACCTATCTAAAATTAAAGAGATCGACATCTCACAGTACCTTTATAATTTAGGAATATTAGGATAAATTTGATTAAAGTTGAGTCTTAATAATTTTTTTTTTAATAAAACTCATGTCTAAAGTGGCGTTTATAACACTAGTTACATAATATACTATTTTATTATACCTGCATCATAATCCTAAATTAAAACATGCTGCTTATAACACCCTGAATTTTAAAGTTGTCTAGGTAACAAGAAATAGTAAAATGTCTGAACCAATTACAACGTGAAAAAATGTGGTTAGCAACTTAAACTAGTAACCGTCTCTACGAAAACGATTCACAAACAACCTTTGATAATTTTATTGTGTAAATCACCGCCTCCTTAATGAAATGTATCAATATCCCGCCTGGGCATTTCGTAAAAAATGCATTGGAGAAGTGATTCCGATTTTTTCTTAGTTACGGGGGTTACTAAGGAAAAACTGAATGAGTTTTAATTATTAACGAAAAATAACGCAATTCATAAAAGCTGGGAAGGAAGGATACAACAAAACTAGATACGCCAGGGAGAATTGATATTATGAGGTTGAACCCTTTAAGCTAAAAAACTGGATTTGTCAAAAATTTTCCCCAGATTAAAGCGCCAACGGAAATCAGTTGAACTCAAAAAATGCCCAGGCGAGAAAAGGATTATTTGTATGGAGACGGCGATGGTGTAAATACACATTTTTTCAATGCTCATAAAAGATCGTAAATGGGCAGGTATAATAAAAAATAGCGTATAACACTCGTTTATAAGTGCCTTTAAAACACTTACGACGTTAAAAGCACTCTGCTGACGCGTCGTGCTCTTAAACCCGTCGTGCATGTTTTAAAGGCTTGCTTATTAACTAGTATTATAATATACCTCTTATGAAATCGACGAATTTTTTTGAAAAATTAACAAAAAAGTCAATTCCGTTTCAAACTTTGGAATTTTATTCCTTTTGCTTCCTTTGAACCTTCAACCTCAATCACAGTGGTTGAAAGATTTGAGGCTAAGCCCAAATTGGTAGGTGCTTATAATCTTTAAATATAGTTCTCCGTTACCAAAACTCGTGAAATTTATAAATAATTTTATTTAACTTCACAACATTAAAATCACAGTTTAACTTATTACTGTTAAAGTCCAATACGTCCACACGTTCAGAAAAAAATACAACTTAAAAATTTTACATCCACTCAAACGGAAAAATACAAATCAATCGCTAAAACTAAAACTGTCATCTGACGACCTAAGAGAAATAGAATCGGACCTCAAACAAATTTCATAGTAATTATCATAATCCCTGAGACTCGTTTTCGTCTTCGAATAGCAATAGTCCATAACGAGAACCCCGTTACAGTGAGTACTTGGAAAGTCAACATGAGGCAAATCTTGGTAAKTTTCAGTAGGTTGTAGTTTAATATCATCAGGCGGTTCAATCACTTCGAAACTATCAGTCGCTATATTCCAAACGAACCAACAGTGCGTCGTGTAATTTTCCGGCTTGCCGTAGTATGGTTCGACCGTTTTTAGAGTACCCATTTTAATCACAGCTTGACATACGATGTGTCCATCTAACGGACAAATCTGCCAACAAAAAGAATTTCAACCAACCATATCAAKGCACTTGATCACTTACATAATTCAGTTTAATATCGTAATCCTGACAATGTAGGAATTCAAGAAGAGAGTCGCTGCATAATTTTTGAGCGCGTCTTTGGACAAATTGTTCACAGTCAAATGTTCGCTGAGTGACGATTAGTTGCATTTCAGTCACTTGATCCACTTTAAAATCGGGAACGACGTCCAAGTGTTGGTCAGTCAGTGTATGGACAAGGAGAGGTATCTCAATTGGAATATTGTAATCATCTAAAATTGCAAAATTCAGATTTTTCTGAGAAGTCGAGAAATTTACAAATTGGTCACAATTTAGAACTGTCAAAYTTACTTTTWTAATTTTACACATTAGTGTGCAACACGAATACTGGAAAATAAAACAGGATAAAAGAAAAAGTGAGAGATATTGGAGATGAGTGTAGTGTGGTGTTAGAGCTAGCTAAGAGAGAACAAGAAAAAATAAACAAAAACGCAAATGAATAATAATAAAAGAGGAAGAACGAAAGTGTAGAATGTGAGGAAAGAGATAGGAGACGATCGAGCSTCTGTTAAACGAATGATAGAAAACAAAAGAAAGTACTGGATCAAACAAATAGAAGAATAGAATGCATGAAGAGGAAGAGAAGAAAACAAGTTTACGGAGAACAAGGATTACTATTTATTATTGTATCTAGACGATGCATTCGTTTCCATGTAAAAAATAGCGTAAAAAATAAAACGAATAAAAACATATAGATGATAGTAGACAATGAGAGAAAATAACAGACAATAATTGATAAAAAAAACAGGATTTGCAAATTCATAAATAAATTTGTTATGTGCTCAAAATCTGTTTTTTTAAGCGAAAATATAAAAAAAATCCAACTTTATCTAGGTCAGTTTTTATGTTACTAGATTCCACAAAATACTTAAAGTAATATCAATTAACTTTAAAAATAATTATTTAACTCAAAAACAAAAAGTAGTAGCACAAATTAGTACCATTGTTGTTTAAATAAAGTGGTATTTTGACTGTACAGTTGGAGACAAAATACTTTGGTCGTCAATGTCACTTGAGTGACATTAAATTGTAAAGCATGCTTTAGAACTGTTAACCTTATTTTTAGCTAYTGTCAATCATAGGTGACAAGTTGTATATATTTTTGATAGGAAAATATAACAGCTGTCATTACTTTGAAATTGTCATTTATTTTAACGTTAAAGCTTGAATTACATTAAAGTGTCAGAAAAGTATTTTGTCTCCAATTGTACAAACCATCGAAATTATTAAAAAAAATATTGCCGCATGCTATTTCGGTCGTCAATATCAGAAAAAATATTCTTTAATGTCTAAAAATTTGCAATTTACCCGTTGTGACTGATTGTCTCAAAAAGTCAAAAACATGTAGTCTAAAGTCGATTGACTTTCTATTATTACTGACATTATTAAAGTTAAGTAAATGCTTCTACTCTAATAGTAAAAGATAGACGTAATTTAGATTTTATGAGAATGAAAGAGACAAAACTATACTAAAAGCTTTTGCTACATTTTATTCATACTACCACCTATTATCGCTCAAATTTCAAATTACACAAAAAATATTTTGTCAAAAAATGAGATTGACGGCCAAAATAAAAAAAAAATAATTTTTTTCGTTTTACCCCTGTAAAAAATTTAGTGCAGCAAAAATTAAACCTTAGAGCGATAGATTTCTAAAGTAAGAATTTTGAAATTAAAATAATAAACTTGAGATGGCGATAATAAAAAAAAACATTTTTGTTAATTTGGATTTTTAAAATGATATTTAAAACTCTACTCTTTGCGCGAAAGTCTTAATTAAGCAACTAAAAATCTTTTTTTTTTTTTTTTGGTTTTAAAGCTTCAAATACCCTGGAACCTTTGATTAATTTCCAGTTCTAAAATAGACCAATTTGCATCTTTGCACATTACAAACCTCTACTTTGCCCCGAAAGCAGCGAACTGTTCTCGAAATCGCCATTCGAGTACCTCCTCACGACCTTTTTGATCCACCTCGGCGTCTCGGTCTTGGGATCTACAATCAATAACCCGCTTTGCTGAGAAAACCGATCGACTTGGGCCGAAAAATTCCCCGGCATTCTCAAAATCAATCTCGAATCCGAATCCGAACAATCGCTATCTAAACTCGGCGAATACACATATAACTTCCGCGCCGATTCTCTCGGACTTATCGGCGACTTGGAATGATGTGGCGAATTGCGAATCGACGGACAGTACAAATTCCGCGCTCCTCCGGGCGAAAACTGCCCATTTCGCGAATTGGGCGACTGCATCGGCGAATGCGGGCTTAAAAACAAACTGTTAAAGTCGGGCGAGCGAATACAGCGACTCTGCGAACGGTGCAGATACCTCCTCTCGCGCCGGAGCGAATTGAACGGCACGATATTCTCGCTATTATCCTCCGAAAACTCGTACTTTTTCTCCGCGAGTCGCTTTTTCCGAAAAGAGCTCAATTTTTCGCACTTCTCGTTCTCTTCAATAAACTCGTACGCTTTTTCGGCGATCTTTTTGTCGATTTTGTTTTTCTCGGCCGACTTTTGCACGCCCGAACTCTGCGGTACTGAAAACAGATAGTCTTTGCTCGTGTTTTGTAACCGTTTGAAACGCGGATCGACGATATTCTGGACTAAAGTGTTATGATAACTTTTCCCCGTCACGTTTAAAGGCTCACAACTGATGTTTAATTCGTGAAAAGGTTTGTTACATTCGTTACCTTCCAAGTCGTACTCGCTATTAAAGTCCTCAAGTATAGCATCGACGACGCTATTCGTACCGAAATGCTCGCTTGGAGATTCCGACACTTCGCTAAAAGTGTCGGTAAAGTTAGATACCGATTGAGAGGGTAATTTTGAGTCGTCTTCTTTTACGAAATTTGATAAATTTACGCTTGACTGAGGTGGATCGAGGGTCGTTACGTTTAAAATGTGGATGTGGTGGCCGGTATTTATGACGAGGTGGTCCGGGTAGGCCAGGGAAATGTGGGGGTCGAAGCTGGGGCTAGGTTGAGACATTGAGAACACATAGTGCAGGACGAAGCCGTGTTTCACGCACCAACCTTGACTCACAGATTCTGTAAATGAATTTCTTATTTAATTTTCCTACATCATGGGAGTCTTACCGTCTCGAGATAAATTTCGATGGCAATGTTTGCAACTCTTTGGAAACGGGAGAGTGATTATGGTTATGTACACCATGGCCGGGCTTGTGGCCCTAAAAATCATTTAAATTTATGCTTTTGTCTCTTGTTTATTTCAAGAAGAAGGGTTTTTACTCACGCCAGGCCGTAGCACAGTAATTTATGTGGATCCATTGGAAATTGCATAAACATAATTTTATCCAGAACCCCCAACCCTCTCAAATGTTTAAAGATCCCATGTTTAGAAACATATTTCAGCTTTTCTCCAGGTATGAACCTCCACAAGTACAATTCATACTCATAAGAACCATTAAAGAATAAAGACGGTGCAACATGGTTGATAGATTCAAGCGGTCGTTCCGTAAAACTTAGAAAATACTGTCCACACAACGTGAACCCCATAAAAACGTGATTCCTGTAACCAAAAAAACACAAAATCAGTCCCTTCTTAAGAAACGCAACTTTTAAAGCTCGCTTACATCGTTTCATAGTCTTTAAGTAGGGAACTTAGGCCAAATCTACATTTATGGTGTATATTGTTAAATATTCTTTCAGTCTTAGCTTTAGGATTCTTCGTAAACCTCCCGTAAATCTAAAATTTCCGCAATGAAAACATGATGTTTGAGGTTAAGTACGAGTCTTACTTGTCTATTTATTAGATTCTTAGCTACGTTGGTGGATTTGTGTCTTTGATATAATTTAAAACTGTCACTTTTTGATTCATCACGCGAGTTGTACTCTCGTGGTATCGAGAATTGAGATAAATCTGAAAAAGAATCTTCAGAATTTTCATCGTCTGACACCACCACCGACATGTTGTTTACTTCTGAAAAATCGGAGGTTGTGATTGGATGAGAGGCCGCGAGGCGCCATGTTTATTGGTCCCTTTAAAGATTTAAACTCGGTTTTTGAATTTGGCACAAAAGCAATTAAATTAAATAAAAAATTTAAAAATTATTTGATTGTGCAAGAAAAGTTGTTATCACAAAAAAAAGAAATGACAAACATCAAATAAATTACACTTCTAGTGTAATTTGTACGCACGCAACCAACTCTACAGACCTGAGTACTGGGTATCATATACGCAAACGCTAAGAATAATTTAAATTTTCTCCTTAAAAAGGAAACTTTATACATCAACAATAAATTGAAGTTAAATAAAAATTTTAATTCAAAAGTAAAATTAAAAATTTTTAAATAATGCGTTCTGTGCCTTGTACTTTACAAAAATTTTATAAATTTTGAATATAAAAAAAAATCATAATTTTTCCCTCTCTCACTCTTTAAGAAGTGAAAAAAATATAATTTCAGTGTCAGATACCAGAAACATGAATAAATAAAGCTTCATCATCATTTACTAACAACAAAGCTTCAGCCATTTGTCTTTATTAGATTTTTAGCCCCCAAAGTGGGTCAAAGTCATTAAATGAAACTTCAGACGATTAACATGCAATTCATTGATATTTGATTAAGTATCAGAAAGTTTTATTTTATTTGCAGAAATGTAACAAGCAATAAAAAAACATCAAAGAAATTATTTGATTCATTTGAGCTAATTATTTTGATAGGTACGTAAATGTCTCGATTCTTTTTTTTTTGGTTTTTAATTTTTTTTTTGCAAATTCCATTTGTAATGAACAAGTCGCTCGCTTTTCACATCTAAATTAAAACGTCCAGTTATGTAAATAATAACTCACATGTCACTGAAATTATCACGAAATGAACGATTATTATCTGATAATTGAAGGGACTAAACTACAGCCTTATCGGGTGATATACACAAACCCAAATCGATACAACACTCACTTCATGTAATTGTTATTTCCACTACCTCTCTGTTTCTCCTCATTACACTCAATTCTCGTCGACATATAAGAGAAATTTTGTAAACTTAACGCCAACATAACACATGTAGGTACTTAATTGTTTTTAATTTTATTTTGTGCCCCTTCACAATATTGCAAGGTTTTATAAATAAAAGGAATAAAAAATGTGTTTATGAGATGAAAGTCTAAAGTAATGCGGCAGAGTTTCTTGTATCTAATTTAATAAGCGATTCAAGCATTTCAACTTTAATATTAATCCGAAGAATATAAAATAAATGGAATGGGGTGGTAAAAGATCAAGAAGTTTTCAACTGGGTCAAGCCAGTAAGAAATAAGAAATTTTTTAATTTAAACACTTGATTATATTTCAGAAGAGAAATATTAATTAGTTTTTTTTATCCAAGATTAAAATCGAATGTGAGTAGAATCTGACTCTTATCTTCCAGCATTTTCAAAGTATGAATTAAGTTAGGTATATTTTATATAGTTTTATAAATAAAACTGAAATTAAAGCAGTTTTATTAAACGTAAAACCCAAAAATGAAGTAAATTCAAACCCAAATTTAATACACATTCAATAAAAAACTCTCTGTATAAAACAGAAACATAAACAACCTGAATAAACGAAATACCGAAAACCGAAAAAAGTATAATCCAAGTAAATTTAAAATAAAAAAAATCCTGTTAACACCAAACCCAGAAATCAAAAAAATAAGTAATCAAAAAACTGAATCTAAAAAACTTGAAAAAACCAAATTTTCAAAGTTGAAAAGAAATCAAAAAACTGAATCTAAAAAACTTGAAAAAACCAAATTTTCAAAGTTGAAAAGAAATCAAAAAACCGAATCTAAAAAACTTGAAAAAAACAAATTTTCAAAGTTGAAAAACTAAACTGTTCTTAAAATTTTCTTTATAACATGGAAAACTAGATAATACAATTTTAAATATGTAAAAAAACATAATTACAACTTGAGCAGCTTCAATTTAGTTGTTAAAATAAACCATTCCATATTCAATATATCGTTATCGAAAAACCTCAACAATGCAAGAAGTCTATTTAAACTCAAAAAAGCTTAATAAAGACAGAAGCAAATTCAGATTTCCGAAATCCTCTAAAAAAACTTTAAAACCTACAAACCCAAATTAATAAAAATCCAAATCCTGAAAACCCATCAAACCTAACAATAATCTAAATCAATACGAAAACTTGAATATAATCAGTCATAACACTCAAAATTTTGAAAAATTTATAATAAACTCTAAATTTAAAGTGCAAAAGGAAAGCGAGCTGAAGGACTTCGGTCGACGGCCGATTGATTCCCTTTCTTTCTGTTTGTTTAAATTGAATTAAATATTCTATTATTTAAATATTTATTATTATTTGTATTGTGCTGTATCTCTTGTCAATAAAACAATTTCTCTCTCACTCTCTCTCTCTCTCAATTTAAATATTATAATTCGAAAAATCAAAACAAAAATGAACCCCTCAAAGTTTGAAAAAACTTTATATAAAGAATAGAAAAAATATGAAACTTAAAACATTAAGTTTCTAAATCCAAAAACTGAATCTAAAAAGTGCAAGTAAAAAAATTCAGTAAACAGACTTTATTTTGTACTCAATGTTAAAGAGTGCTTTTATCAACTAATTTCAGTAAATAGTCTTTTATCGTCTAGTGAAATAAAGTAATTTTTATCTAATGTTTAGATTCAAGAAATTCTGGTAGGTGAGTACAAAATAAAACGAAATATTATACACGACGATAAAGATTGTTTATCTACTCGTGAAAAAAGTCCACTCGTGACTTCGTCACTCGTAAACTTAACCTTTTCACTCGTAGATAAACAATTTCTTCATTGTCTTGTATAATAAATAACTATTAATAAAACAATTTGTAAAACTTTATAACATACAAAAAACACAAAGTTGTAAACCTTATGAAAACAAAAAAATATCAAAAATGAAGACATTAAAACCAGATTTTAAATCGCAAATCTCCCTGATAGAAACTTAAACATATAAAATTAAGATCTAAAAACGTGAATTTGTAAAGTTTGTGTAATTTACGTAACCGAATCAAAAAGAAAACAAATACATAAAACCTTGCAGTTTCAAATTGAAAATATTAAAAACACAAAAATTAGTATATTAAAACATAAAAAGCAAAAATTGAACAATCCAGAATATCAAAACCTCAAAAAAACTGAAAAATGCAAATTTTAAGTGATACAGTAAATTAAATAAACAAAATAGAATACAATTGCAATTTCCATTCAATTACGAGTCACTCGTATAAAGAAACAAATATTACAATAAAACTTAAAAATTACGGATTTTTCTATCCTATGATTAAATTAAGCTTGAGCTAAAAGCTTAATGTTACTTCTTTGAAAGTATTTAAGAAGTTTATTTAGCAGCCACTAGAATTAGCCAAATCTGTGCCTCCTCTGACATCTAATTCGCTTTGACCCTCACAAGTTAATCCTTGCCAAGCAAAATTATCTTACCCTAAGCTTGATTATCGTGGCTTCCCGAGCYTTAGCTTCGTGTTACGAAAAACTGAATAAAAGATTCAGTTTAGCTTGGCTTTGATCGAAATTTGTTGATCAATATAAGTAGCTCCCATCCCTTTCTAAATAATTTAGCTAATGAAATACGGTGACGATAAATAATTGTGAAAAAAATAGTATCGACTTGATCGTTTCCCCTTGTTAATCAAAGTAATTTATATCGGTCGCGGGTGCCGTGACCCCGTCTGAATATTCAGTGTATCGAAATCCTGTCTCGTTTTTTCTCCGTTCCTGCTGTAAAATCGCGCATCAGGACAATTTAACGGGGAGCTTTCGCGCGTGTCCGCAAGCTTTCGGCAAAGCTCGCAAGGGAGGGGGCCGTAGTGTACTAGCCGTCGGGGCTGCTCTAAATTTAAATCGCGCCGTTTTAAACGCATTTCACTTAATTATTAACTAATTAGGAGTTGATTAGATTGTCATAAGTGTTAGTTTGCTTCGTTTAACCCGTCCAAGAGCGTGAAAGCGATGAATCGCGTTCATTGAGCTGTATTCCTGGCGCGCGTCGACATTTTCCTCCAGTTTTTCATTGAGCCAAGGGCCGCGACACCAAAATGACGACGACGAGGGCTTTCAGTGCTTGCTTCGAGTGATTTTGTGACGTGTTCGTGCCGTTTTTACGCGATGATTAAGTAGGACCCGGACTGGAAATATTGATTAAGGTGGTACGACGCTGGCAATTCCAAAGCTCCCCCGAATAAATCATCCCCGACGAAATGAAATCCATTTTACTCATTACACGACACAGGAAGGTCTTGTACAAGAAATTTGAGAATAGGTGATCATGCTTTCATACAGGTAATGCCAGAAAAATCCAGTTTTTGAGTGACACATTTCCGATATATTCCACAGATTTGTCTAATGCGGAATGAAAGACAGATTGAGAAATGACCAAACGGTTTATTGATTTTTGRCCCTAAATAGGACGAGTAATTTCAGATTTGTTTGAGGRAATTTTTTGAAGAATTTTCATTTCACTTGGAATAACTTGGATTAAATCAGATAGAGTAAATGTAATGGTTTTTGGCTCATCACTGATGCTTTTGCTCGAATGCGCGTGTCGACTAAATTGCTTAATCAAATACGATGAAAATTGATAAAATATTAAGTAAACAGAATGTCCTTTGGGACGTAAAGTTTCTGAGGCTCTGAATGTTATTGAAAAAGCCAAAGAAAAATTACGGAAATGTAGGATTTAGTACAAAAATGTTCTCATCTAAGTAGGTAAAGCTTGAATTCTTAAAAGCTGTAATGTCAAATCAAATAAAAAATTAACAAAGTATAGTTCAAGTTATTTTTGAAATAGTTTTGTCAATCAATAAAAAAATTACGAAAACTAAAAAACACATTTAAAAAAATAAAAAAACAGAATACAAAGCTAAGACCGCTACATAAAATTTCAAGTAATTAAATTTAATTAAAACAAGCTTAAACAAAACAGTACAATAAAGGTAAAATTTAGAAAAGACAAAAATTGATAAAAAGTCACTTAATTTTAAGACAAATGTTTCCTATGAATATGTATCGAAAAGAGCTTCGCAAGGGAAAGAGGTGAGTGTTTTAATAGATTTATTCCAATATTTCCGAAACTATTTAAGAAAAAATTACAAAATTTGGTACAGATGTTAACCTTTATACACCTAAACGAATTCAAAGATAAAATGTTAAAATTTCTAATTAGAGGCTTTCTAAACGGGGTGAGTTTAGAATAAAAAGTACTCTAACTATTTTGCCTGTGGTTTCCTGCCACTTTCAACAACAAAATTCTAAATTTCACAGTTTTTCATAAAAAGGTATTTTGCATTTATCCGATACAATTTACCGATTTTGAGTAAAATCAGTCTTAAAATTTATGTTACAGACTATAAACAGCATAAAAATTAAAAATCAAATTCGTTTTACAATTTAGAACGCCCCTGATTAAAAATTTCGATATTTCATCTTGGAATTTGTTTAGATGTATAATGGCTGTACCAAATTTTGTAATTTTATCTATTCTGAAATATTGACAAAAACCCTTTAAAAAACGCACCCCTTTTTGGGGGTGTAGCTCCCTTATATAGCATTTTTCGAACAATGTTTATAAAAAACTTTTGTCTTAAAATTGAATATTCTATCTATTGAAATTTGTAACAATATATTCCTTAAAAGTTTTTAAAAACCCCAATAAAATCAAGATTAAACAACAGGAAAAACAAAATAAACAAAATTTTATAGAAATATACCAAAAATTACATGTACAAAACCTAAATAGGATGTTCCTAACTCAAACAAATTTAAAATTGAAAACCTGAAATTTTCAATACATACTAAATAAAAATTCAAATCTAAATATGCCCAAATGTAAATATAAATATACACAATACAAATGCAAATTTAAAAACGTAAGATATCGGATTTCAAAGATCCAATGAAAAAAAAATGAAAAACTGAAAGAACCAAAATAATCCAAAAAAGCTAAGGCAATAATAAGGTAAAAGCATTTCGAAGGTATATTGGTGTCATTTTTGTAAATTATTACAATACTAATAATTTTATTCCTCTCAAGTCTTTAGAATAAACCCAGCAGAGCACCTTAAACCGTGTTATTTTTTATTCAAAACCTCCATAAAAAAGCCTCGCGCAACTTTGCTGCGGACAGGGAATGTAAATATGAGAGCGGAAGAAATTTTATGTCACTTCAAAACTAGTAAAAAAATTCCTTTTGAATTCCCCCTTAAAAAGGTCGAAAAGTTTGTTACATTTGGGATCCAAAGCCCCTGTCATACATTCAACTGTAAATTATTTTGATCATAGCGTACAAATCGAGTTTCCCTCACAATAGCGTTATATTTGCAATATAATTCCATAAAGTCGCACATACAAAGACTATACCCGGCTTCCACTATTATCCAAGTAATTAGATTTAATAATGAACACATGAGAAATTACATTACATTACATTACTGAATTGTTTCATGATTATCTGAATTATTATCTGAAAGAAATGCAACGTCCTCAATTTTTAAAATATTCAATTACTCGAGACTGAATTTTTATACAAAATAAATACAGTTTTAGCAACGTTGCGCTTATCTCTCGTGAAAACCCAGTTTTTGTTCCAAATTAACTTTTAAATATTAATTTACTCTTCAAGGCAAATAGTGTAAGCAATTATTTTAATTTAGAAGTGCGTTGACTAAACGACAATCGATGAAGCTTCAATTTTTAATTGCTCGGTGAAAGCCCGGAAAATTAATTTATGTGCTTCGGAAAAATGTCAGTGGGCAATGGGCAGTGCCTTATAAAGGTCAACAGGGCACAACCGACGCATTCATCAATTGCCAAAAATCATCTCTGAAAGAAATATTCATTTTCCTCTTTTTTGAATGAATGTGAAAAATTATGTCTTACCCCTTTAATATTTAACTCGGACTATTTATCTTTTTCTTGTTACATATGTACGTAATAAATTATTCAAAACACAACATTAATTTCCCAGGAATGGAAAGCTGGCAGAGTGGGAGAAAGATAAAGATAAAGGGTGACAAGAACCACTTACGTTGTAACAGTTCTTGAATGGTAGTAATAGCTATTGTTTCGCACTTATCTGATAAAAACATAAAGCTGGTTATAATTAAATTTCAACACGTTTGTGTCAGCACCAATAATGGGAACTTTTTGCACTTATTTCCCATTTTTCCCTAGCAAAATCTCTTTTATAGTATTTTTAGTGTTGAATCCTGCATAATTCAGCCCCAGTTAGTTGCATGCGAAACGTTCTTAAATTTCTTATCCTTCAATGAAATTCGGCTTAATAATAGATTTCATAAAAATACGCACTACACATAAAACTGTCCGGAATTTATGAGCCAYAAAAGTGGTCASGACACGACATTCGTACAATACGCGAATATCTTAATTAGTTTAAATTTGATTAATCTGATTAAATTAAGCAAAACGGAACTATTTTGACGGTTGAATTATGAATGATGAAACCAGTTTTTGTATATGCCAGTGTGAGCTTTCAATAATTAAAAGACTTAGAAATTCTAATTTTAGGTTTAAATTAAACCTAAATCATTAATCAATTTGGGGTTTAATTATGCATTAGCTCTAAAGTCATGTTATTACACGCGTAAAAAATACGTAAATAGAAAAGTAAATTAAGTTTATGGCCGGAATAATACCACCGAAAATTATTATCGATCCGAAAGTATTTTTTTAATTGTGTTTTTTTCAATAATAACGACTACAATTGTGTAAACAGATGTTGCCAACTAAAAAGCTATTACGATAATAGCACACATCCATTTCAGCTAGTAGAGATGTATTTTTTACATTTTTATTCCCTCATTTCGTTTAATTTTTCATTTGAAGATTTTTATTTGTGTGGACTTGTATAATAGCGCCAATTTTTTATTACTCATACAGATATCAAAAGTCACAATATATTTGACGTCAGTCGTGTAATAAAAAAGGAAAAAAAGGAATGTTTTTATACTACTAGTTTATTATTAAAAATATTTCAAATTGATAATAACAAAGTCAAATATTAAGTTCAACAATCACCCGCGTTGCAATGTTGTTTTCAAGCAACAAAATTCAACACTCGTAAGAATTTGAAAGGAGCTTTAGCATATCTAAAAGCAAAAGTCAATAAATTTAAATTTTCTCCAAACAATAATATGAAAAAATGTTAATTTTACGGTTTTTTTAACGAAAAATACGTGGAAAATTACTTTAGTGTCTTGATGATGTTTCGTAACAAAAACAAATAAATGAAATAAAAAATTTGTTTTTCATTTGGTGGTGCAAACAAAAACAAAATATTAATTAAACGACATTTCACTRAATAATAAAACAAATAATAAATAAATAACAAAACAGAATAGAAATTAAAACTTGGAGATTTAAATTCGGACTCATATCGCAGAATTAAGAAAAAAAAAATCATAATTTTATTATTTGACAAAACTATACTAGATATGACATTTTCGTTACTTAAGGCCCAATTTCAACTTGTTTGTCGCAAGATCGCAATCTAACCACAAAATATACTACTCCAAAAAATTAAAGAAACAAAAAATTTTCTTAAATTTTTTTAGTAATTTTTGAAAGCCTGTAATTTTCTCGAAAAATGGTCGCATTTAGATTTAAAAAAAAAAACATTTTGAAGCTTTAAGTTTCTTAGTTTTAAAATGTTTTGCCAAAAAATATTACGGTATTACGCAATTCTAAGTAATAGCGCGAGAAAAAAATCTAAATTTTTGTGTCTTTGTTTTTGGCCCACAAACGTAGGAATTAGGATTTTAAGACGTTCGTTTACCTTTAATATGTTTTTTTGACATTCTCTTTACGTCAATAGGTCGTTGAAATATGTGACTTTAAATGAAAAAAGATCTTTTTGTCTCTGATCATCGATATCTCACCAACCAATGACTACACAGAGAATATAAAGGAAGTGCCAAAAACTGAAATAAATGTCTTATAAGATCCTTTTATGATTTTTTGGAAAATATTTTTTTTCACCTTTAACATTGATTTAAAGAAAAGAGAAAAAAGGAACTTTTTGCGTTGTTTTAGTAAATCTACTAAAACATAAAAATTTAGAATTCAATTTATCGCGCTATTACTTAAAATTGCGTGATAACCGTAGCACAGAAAAAAAAATTCCAAAAGATTTCAAAACTAGAAACTTAAAGCTTCAAAATGTTTTTTTTAAATATGACCATTTTTTTCAAAAATCATCAGAGTTAGAAAAATTTTTATTTTTAGTTCTTAATATTTTTTGGAATGGTGTAATATAAAAAAAATTCATTTGTTCGTCTTGAGACTCTTGAAAAGTTTTTCTAAAAATTCAATAAAATTGAAATTGAAACTGAAAAAAAAGTAAGGTAATTTGTAAGTCATTTTTTGTGATTGTTTATTTACTATAACAAACAAATAACAAAATACAAAATACATTAAACTTGATTGCAAAAGAGTGCCAAGAAATTAAAATGGGAAGTTAATTTTCAATTGTCGACACCCTTCGAATTTCAATTGACAATGTATAAATTGACTCCGCCTATTATGAGTAAATTTCGATAGCGATTTGTTTAGGAAATTGTTTTCTGGAAATTAAATTGGTCGAATTTATCCTTTCTATTGTCTTGTTTCACAGAGTGATGTGATCCGTTATGTGTACGTACATCTTTGCTGAAGCACCCTGTGTTGTTTTTTATTTTACACACAATTTTCGCTATCGTTACACACCGATGACTTCGAAAGACCCCATCTGTCGTTCACACACAGATCAATAAGTTACAATACGATATCCGAAATGAAATTTGAATTGATTGTGGGCGCATCAAACAGGTGTTTTTAAAAAATGGTTTTAATCTGAAATTCGCGGCTATCATCAATCATCGTGATTGTAAAGCGGCCAGCATGCGTCCTTTGTGTAGTAATGGATCTGGTTGTTATTTTTCAGAACGACATCCCAGAGCTAATCTGGTATGCAGTGGCGGAAATTGGCGCGCTCGAAGATCACATCCGGTCGTTCGCGCACGCGCAATATGCTCTGCTGTGGTCGCAGGAAGGTAAGTAACTCAAAAATTAAGACAACGAAAAAAAGTCTCAAGTCTCAAACTTGTAAAAAATCACTCTGTATGTGTATGTCTTTTTTTTAATTTTCAACCTTATGATATGTGAAAATTCGAAAACAATAAATGTCACACGTTAATGCAGATCCGAAGAAAGTATTGATCGTCATTGTGAAGTGACATATTTGTGTTTATCGTAAACAATGCAACGTTCTATAAAATAACAAAACGCAAATGGTGCCATTGTGTGTTATTCTTAGTCTTTAGCCTGTCTTTGTCTCATAATGTAAATTTCAAAGTGTTGAAGCTGCTGTAAAGTAGTGTAAAGGCACAACTGATGAAATAAGGAAGAAGCAAACTTTATAAAGCAACTTAGAGAATAATAAAACTAAAGAGAATCGGTTAAAGTTAAAGTCGTAGACTATGTTGCAACTTAGAAGTTTAAAACTGATGAATTCAACTTGATTTAATAAAATTTCGAGATGGTTTTGGTTCAATTTAAATCAGTATAAGAACTTTTTGCAGAAGAACTCGGATCGTTCCTTAAGTTAAATGAATTAATTAATTTGCATGCAATTAAAATCACCACTTTGGCACAGAAAAAGTGTAAAATATAGCTATAAAATAATTTTAATAATTAAACGAGAAAATGTAGTGTACAGAAAGTAAAAGTAAAAAATGTGAAGCCTACGAGTAAGTATCTACCAGCAATATAATTTTATAAATAAAAATTCAAAACAAGTTAATAGTATATTATGCAATTAGGAGTTAAAGTGATAGTTTATGTGGTGAAGCTGAACGTTTATTTTGCCGAGGCAAATAATTCATTTGATCCACATAAACTCACTTACACTCAGAATAACATACACTATTTTATGCGCAAACGTATTTAAATCGAGAGTCAAAAGCATCAGTATAATTGGTAAGTAAATGAACTAAATAATCAGAATGCTTTGCAACTAATAAAATCTTAGCAATCAAGTGTTTATTAATTTAACTAGTGTAGCAAGTAATGCAAAATGTCGAATGCTGATGTTCAACAAGGAAACATTAGTAAATGTCAATAATGGTAAAAGTAAAAAGGCTTAGGTGCAAAAATATACTTTTTACTACATGACTGAAAAGTAAAACTTTTACTTGTGACATTTATAGTCATAAAAGTGGTGACTTTTGTGACGTTTGCGGGTAATTCTTTTTTCAAATTCATTTATGTAATATCAAAATAGTACTTTGCGTCAAAAGTCAGGTAAGTCAAAGATTACAAAACGAATGAAATATTTATTATCCAGATGAGATATATCTTGTACTATATACTATCTATAGTAGATACTTTTACTTACCGGCACTGATACCGTAATAGATTTATTACTTCTTCTAGTCAAAATTGAGCCGGAAAACTGAACTTATACCGGACAGTATGAAATAAAAAATACCTAGTGTTATTACAAAAAACAAAAATTAAAGTAAAATAATTTTTTGTGAATGCTTAATTTCGTTTTGAAACTTACATTATTTGTCAAAATGTAATCAAAAATGACAAAAATGATAAGGTTTTTAAAAATAAAGATTAATCCTTTTTAAATAGAAGATTTCCACAGTAGAACTATACATACTAAATTAAAAAAAAAAAACAGAAAAAATCAAAAATCAATATGTAATTAAATAAATGAGTGTTAAAACAATCTTGCATATTTTTTTCTATTTCAGTGTCACAATGAACATTTTGTGTTTTCGGTCACAAAAAAGCTCTCTGTATTTTGAAACATTTTATGCAATATTTTTGCCATTTCTGAGTGTGCATACTGTCGTTTTTAAGTGAGAAATTGTTGTAGTTTAGCGTATTTCATCGCAACTAGTGGAATTTGAACTATCTTCAAGCGATTTAAGTACCACATACGTCAAATGTCATCAATAATTTTAATTTGAAAAGCGCTCAATAGAAAAAATAGCATAAAAAACGCTTGTTTTAATAATCATGCATTTGTAACACTCGCTACCTCGTGGCTCGKGTTACAAACTACTCATATCACAAAGTCTTTGTAACTCTTGTTTTTTTTATATACCATTGTGTTGTTCTATTGTCGCCAAAGACACGTTGTTTGAAAAAATATTTGGAGATGGCAGTGTGAAAAGATGTAAATGTAAAAATTGCATTAGTTTCGGTGAAATACGTTGATCCACAATAATTTCTTATTTAAAAACGGCAGTAGGTATGCAGTCAGTGATGACAAAATTATTACAAAGTTGCATTTTGTGGCACTGTTTTTTTGATAAAACAGTGTCACAAAATCGTCATAGCAAATGCGAAATATGTTATTTACATTAAAAATTTTCAAGGTAAAGTTTTAATATTGAAGCACGATGCAAAGCTGAACGCTGTAAAATACCTAACGCACAAATAATATACAAAACTTTTTGATTCATATTTGGATTTCAATACTCAATATTATGAGGAGTCGTGCGTTTACGATTTTCACCACAAAATGATATTGATCAGAATCGAAAAATAAATTGTGTTTATTTCTGAATACCGAATAGGTAAATAAATGCGAATCTTTTCATGGTATTAATGAACTTCATTTGCCATCAAGTATAATTTTTTTCAGTATCTCTAAAAGCTTAAAATTTTCGTGTTAAAACTTAATGAAAGCTTTGTAAACATGAAATACCGTAGCTGTCGAAAATGTGTAAACATGTCAATTACGGTTGTCGAGACCAAAAAATAAATTTCGGTTATGAAACTCTTCACTACTCTTCACCCCTAGTCTATAAAACTCGCRTTTAAAACGTGTTGATTTCTACCCCGTGTTAAATTAGCAATCGTCGTTTTTTCGAACCCGTTTCAGTGATTATCCATCCAAGACCCAGTTTTCTCCCTTATCAACTACAATCATCCCGTTTTTCCAGTCGATCGCTTCAGGTAAAGAACACCGAGCGTGTGCTATTGCCGCCCGCCTATTGGTCGTCGTTATCGACTAGAGTTTACGTTTTACTTTAATTACTATCGTGTGTACGTGGCCTCACGTGATGTTGATACATTCATAATGAGTTGTGCAAAGGGGAAAAGCGTGAATGGCATCGTAGCGCATTTTTCATTCGAGTCTACAGGGAGACCTGTGCAATTTGCATCTAGTTGTACTACGAGGATATGCGTTCATATTTTAACACTCACCCCAGSCGAAAGATTCTTGTTTATGCGATTTTAAATTACACTGAATTGAGTTATAAACATTTTTAAATRCAAAGCAGTCAAAGAGAGGAATTATAAAGCTTTCATTTGGATCCAGTTGTAACACAGAAAATAGGTAATAATAGATAGTAATAATCCATAAGGTATTTTCTGACTGTATAAAAATCAAAATTCTAATTAAAACATTTTATACAGGCTGTGTCAGAACTCGCGCCCTAGAGATAAATTTCAAGTAAGGTATCAGGAACATGGAAAAAATATTCAAAAAATTCTATCTGTCAAAAAAAATTGACATTTATTTTTTGATATATGACATTTTTTATAACTATTTATTAATATTGATGATCTTGTATATGTTTTTTTTTATAATTATTTAGTAAAAGTACAAAAATTTGCTAAAAAAAGGCACAAATAACATTAAACAGTCACAATTTAGGATTCAGCTTTCTAGTTTCCTCTTCTAATAGTCTGTAGCAAAAATCTTGAAAAATTATTTTTCCAAAAGAAATAAATAGAGTCAAAGTGCAAAATTTAAACTCTCATAACTTCAAAATTTTTATAGATAGATTTTTTTAAACATTTTTTATGTTCCTGATTACCTTACAAGACATTTTTCTCTGGGACGCGAGTTCTGGCGCACCCTGTATTTTCAGTTTTAATAAGATTATTTCATAATTTTGCCACTCACTGTATATTGAATTTATTTTAAACTACTCATACTTATATTTTTTTATTTTCAGTTTACGTTGTTTAGCTCTCCAAAAATTCTGTACAATTTTTTTGTTCTATAGCAGATGTTAAACTATTTTTTATTTTTATTTAACCGCAAGGGTAGATAAAGTAACACTTTAACAGCTAGAGTAGATAAAATGTTTTAACTTACTTTATTCATTTAAATGTACAAATTTTATCATCCACGAGGTGGAATAAAACGTCCCATTTACACTCAAACGAGTTAAATACAACATTTTATTATTCGAATTAGACTCAACAAGGCTTAAACTTGCTTTAAATCTGTTAAAAATAATCTGACGTTTCGTATTGAGAAATGCCAAAAATTGTATTTTTTTTATTTCATTTTTCTCTTTAAACTTTAAGTCCTGCTATAGAAAAGAATGTTGTATTATACACGACGATAAAGATTGTTTAATAAATAACTATAATGTTTTCATAGTTTTCTCATACATAATTAATCACCTTTCATGGCATTTTTCTCTTGTGCGGGTTTGGTGCGGTTTTTGAGAAAAGAAAAGAGAAAAAAAATACTTTTTCTTTTTCTTGAACTAAAAATATCTTCCTTTTATTATTTTAAATTCTCATTATTTTGTAATATTGTAATAAAACATTTATACCTTAAAAATGTATGTAATGGTAAAACTAGGTAGGTGTACCAAAACACTAATGAAAAAATTTTTTCGTAGAGGGCCAATCAACGGTTGTTTTTTTAATTATGTGTGTCACTTTTGGTTAATCCAAATAATATTTGTAGTGAGCTCACGTGACAATTATCTATTAACTCGTTTTCGAAAAGTTCTGTCAAATAATAATTTTCAAATAATTTGAAAATTATTTGAAAAAAATTATTATTAAAAAATTGTTATTAATTATTATTATTAAAAAAATATTTTTTCGACAGTAATAATAATAATAATAATAATAATATTTATTCATGCTTAGATGTACATACATACAATAAAAAATACAACATAAATAAATTACAAGTGTAAAACACAAACACTCATAATATGGACATAAAATTTTGTTATTTTATGCAACAATAGTTAAATCTTCAGACAAAAATTTATCGAAGCTATAAAAAGCTTTTGATATTAAATATTTTTTTAGAATAGTTTTATATTTACTTAAATCTAGATCCTGTATATCTTTAGGTATTTTGATGTAGACAGTAGGTAACATCACAACAGATTTATTATTCTTACTCTCTTGTGATGTTACCTACTGTCGAAAGTTATAAGCAAAATTACCATTTTGGAAGTTACAAAAACATTATTAAGTAATAATGTTTAACACCAAGTATTTTTTTAATATATTCAAGGTCTGAAAACAAATGATTCATGAACTTTTATCGGTAAAAATAAAGAAAATTTTCCTACAACACATAAATGGCCTTCACCTTGCTTCAGTTGTTGTAATAGTTGGAATTTAATCTGACTATTCTTTCTTTGCTAAGTCAGATAGGTCAATGTTGGATCAAGCTTAACAATCATTAAAATAAACTGTAATTTTGTTTTGACTAATTTATTTGGATTGTTTTTTTTTTAACAAGAAATGCACTGTCATGACGATTTAAAACATATATCACATTTCTCTTAGTGCAAATTTCACTCTGATATTGTCCTTGGTTCTTAAAACGATATCTTCAACCAAAACTGCACTCTTAGGAGTATCCACAGGTTGCAGAATAAAACTTGATAAAAGACCGCAGAGGACTGTCTTCAATTCCAGCATTGCAAACCTTTGACCTATACAATTCCTAGGTCCTGCACTAAATGGAATATAAGCATATGGATGTCTTTTGTCACAATTTTCCGGTAGGAAGCGATCCGGGTCAAATTTTTCCGGGTCAGGATAAATAACTGGATTGTAGTGAAGATCGTAGATGTGCAATTGCACAATTGTCCCCTTCTTCAATTTATAACCAGATGCTGTAACCATATCTTCGCCCAACTCGCGAGAAATGTAATCAACACTTGGATAAAGCCTTAGGACTTCCTTAATAACCCTTTCCATGTATTTTGTAAATCATCGTAAAACGGTTTCTTCTTAACATCTCCTAAAACATCCTTCATTTCTTGAACGATTTCTTCTTGAACTTTTGGATGGTTTGCTAGCATCAGCAGAATAAAATTTAAAGCTGCTGAAACAGTATCGTGGCCTTCAAACATAAAAGTGTCCACTTCTTCTCGAATTCCTTCATCATCGATGATTCCTTCTTCTTTTTGAACTGTCAGTAGTAGATCTAACATTGCTAAGCATTTCTTCTTTTGAGTATTGACAGTTCCTCGATGAAAATCGTTTCTTCTTTTGGCGATAATGTTATTGGTAAAATTGTGTAAAAGTCTGACCAATTTCTTTTCTTCGTAAAACTTGGGACTAAAAATGTAGAAAATGTCGTAAATTAAATAAGGTCGAAATATTCGGTGYATGAGAATGGAAATAAGTTTGTGAAATGCTTCTTTGTATTCTTTTCGGTGTTTGGTATACTAAAGTCAAATTTAACACCCATTGCAGTTTCTGAAAATTAATTGCAATTTTCTTGAATTAAAATAAGAAATTTGGTCACCCCCAATAACTTTCAAAGCAAATTGAGTAATCAATGGAGTTATCTCAACAAACGGTTTTTCAACTTCCTTTTTCAAAATTTCAACCAACTCTTCCGTACTTTCATTAAAAGTCAAAATAAAGTCTTGCAAAATAGTGTAATGGAAAGCTGGTGTTAGAATTTTCCGTCTCACTTGCTAGTGAGTTCCAAAACTTGTCAATGTTTCATGTCGGGTAAAATAAGCTGAAAGTTTTGTTCAAAATTGCATTATTTCTCGAGGGACTTACCGCCAAGTTTTCCGGGCTGAGTATATAACAATGCCTTGTAAATTGGGTTATACTCAAGGCCCCACTTACGTAAAACGTTGAAAATTTGGACTAGAATTTTTCAAATTGGTGCCAAAACCGTTCAAAGTTGTAATATACAAACCTGGAGTGCCATGCAAAGGACGCATATTTCCAACAAATAAATTGAATTTTGGTGGGCCTGGCATTTTTTGAATGTAAATTATTACTAACACCATTGCAATTAATTTTCTGATAARATAACAAATGACAGCAATTGCCACCAAACCTATTACCATTTTTTCAAATGCCATTTTATCACACAAGTTTTTACTATGAAACTCAAACTAGAACTAATTGTACACTCATCACAGATCCATAATTATCGTATTTGTAAATATATACCTACAATGTACATTAAAATCTTATCATATTTATAGAATGAAATGTATTTTATTATAATTGTAGTAATGACATTGAATTAATCATTTAAGTTTATTTTTGTAATGTCAAGAAATATACGCATAAGTGGAGTTAGAGCGTAAACAGATGTTCTTGTTAAATTTAATGTCTCTATGATAAGATTTGGAGTTTCTAGTAAAATGTACTATTTACATCACAAGAGATGTAAGTAAAAATATTTTTCTTTTATATAAAAATGAACAATTTTCCTTGATTTTCATTTCTACTAACAGAAGTGATATTATTGTAGAATACTAAAACAAGTCAACCATAGTTCCTTAATTTAAATTTCACATTTATGTAAAACTTAAGTAATTTAAAAAACCATTTTCTTTAGTACAGCCCTACAGCTGAAAAAATGTATTTATCAGCTTTCACATAAATAGTAACAGCGGTCAGTTAAAATTGTGATCTCAAGTGTTGTTCCGGTGGTGACTGAAATAATATTAGAGATCACTATTTCAGACGTGCGTAACAAGAGTGTGTCTCGAGAAAAATGTCCCCAACTGTACATAAAGCGGACAAAATATAATTTGACTCTAGGTCAAAGTATCACAAAYAATATATTTTTTCTACAATCATGTGCGAAGTTGAACTTCGAACAGACGTCGAGATCAATGGGCGGAGTGGTGATTTTTTTAAAAGATGCGATATTTACAGCAGTGTGTGAAGTGCTCATTTCACACAATGACAACTAAATTTTGAAGTATTTTAAATATTGTGGAAAAACGTTTATATTATGTGTGCAAAAATGTTTTTAACGACCGAATGCCTTTCTGTCTCGATTTGAAATCTCGTCAAGGAAACGGCATTATTTCGAGTTAAAAAAACACTCGTTTTGCACATTTAAATAAATAAAAAATAAACATAAATAAATATCCAGACTTTGTCCATTTTTTATTTGTTTGTATTTACTATATATAAATATTTAATTTGTTATCTACGAAATGTGTAGTAGCATTGAAATAGAAGAATCAATCATACATAGAATCATTTCGGTTACAATTGTTTATTTTTTTTTATTTTTTTTAACATTATCTGTATACTTAAAAAATTGTTTTTAAAATTAAAATAATAAATTTCTTTCAAATGCTAAACAGCGGGTTTGTTTTATTCACATTTTAATGTTTTAAGTTTAATTGATATGTTTTAAAACATGTTAGAATGCAAACATAAACACAAAAAATTAGAAAAATTAGTCATAAAACAATACGAGTGATTATTAAATTACAAAATAGTTTTTTTTTTGTACACGTTCCCGAAAACAGCTGTTTTAGGGACTCATTTGAGTTTGTTTGTTAAAATAGTTTTATTTCTTATTACAACGTATATAAAAATACAGGGTGATTCAGCTTAAATGACCCACCTGACTCCTTTTGGCAGACAACATATAAGACATTATGCACTTATTCCTTGATTCAAAATTAAATTTTCAAAATATCGAGAATCAAAGAACGATATTTTTCCATTCATGAAACTTTCAAAATTCGAATATGAATTAAGGAATAATTGCTTTGTGTATTATAGGTTGTCTGCCAAGAGGGGTCTAATGGGTCATTTAAGCTGAATCACCCTGTATAATACCAATAAATATTAAGACATTTTAAATTAAATTTTAAGAATTCTTCTTACCTAGAATTTTTCTCTCAATGTTGTCGTGAAGCTTGGAAATTAATAAGCATGTAATCAACGAATTTTCTTAATTCCCAAGTTCTACGACAATATTGAGAAAAAAAAAACTAAAAGAGAATAGGAAACTGCAATTATTTTATTACTCCTACCCAGAATGCGTTTCTCAATAACATATTGCTGAGTTATCTTTTAAAATACATGACATGACAAAAAATTGCAATCAACAAGAAAACAGTAGTAATTAAATAATTCGCCGTTACGTTCTACAATAACTTTAAATTTGTYCTTTTTTTTACTAAACTTAAGCTAAAAGAGAGTTTAAAATTGCGAGTATTTAGTAATCACGCAAGGAAAACTCATAGCGGATGCATTTTTTAGTTGTTTAACAAAGAGAAATTCTTATTAAACTAATCTTTCAACAAGCAACATTTTAAAAAGCACAATGAAAATTTTAGCGAACGTCAAAGGAAATAATTATACACTAGCTGATTAAAAAAGTTTGTTTTGTGATGTTACAACAATTTTTTGAATGAAAAATTGTGGAATTTTAATGGATTCTTCTTGATAAAAAAATCGCTTTTGTCTAGAAGGTAAAAAATGMGAAAAATTGTTTGCAAAAGACATAAAGTGTGGTGCTTTTTTCACTGGTGGCAAACTGTTGCATCAAAAGCTTAGATATTCTTGGTATTGCTGTTTATTTGACACGTAGTACGAGTATATCAAAGAAATTAGAATTTGTTAATTTTGTATTTGTCTATCGCACTTTTTCTGCGAAATTAGCCATTTTAAAAATGCGTGAAATGTTTATTTCACATACTAACGGTATTTCATACACTTACAAAAACATGACTAGTAAATTTTGAAGTATTTTAAGTAATTAAATTAAATATTGTAAAAAAACATTGTTAATTTTATGTCTAAGAATTTTTTTTTCTAACACTCGAATGGGTTTACGAGGCTTACTCTCGCGTTAAAAAAACAGTCGTTTTCAACACTCAATGTAAAAATAACTATTTCAGGAGCGTCGAAGAACATATGCTCATTACACGCCGATGTGTGATAGGAATTTCTGTCGCTTTTTAGAGTACTTACTTAAGATATTTATATATAAATATTAAATAGTCTAAATCTGTAAAAGTAACAGAGTTTTAGCTACAGCTTCGAACACCGTTTATGAAACACAAAATGCAAAATGGTGGATGCGCCGGGCTAGCAATTATAATTTTTGTTGCTTTTAAAGATTTTGCTTTCATCCCTCGCACGCTGGCATGTTTTCGTCGTTAAAGTCATTATTTGTGTTCTACTACGGTGTAATTTCATTCACGCCAATGAAATCCATTAATACATGAAACTTTAATCTGCAAAAAGTGTGTCAAAAGCTTTCGTCCATAAAATGTAAATGACACGATTCGATGCAATTAGGCTAAGCAATTTTTCTTTGAATAAAATGATCGATAAAGCTTTACCTGACAAATTTTCAATTAACATTTAAAGGAACGTCACCCCGATTTGGATCGGCTGTCAATGTATGTGATACGGGGTAAGAGATTTCGTTCAAGTGTAGGACTTGAGAGGCTGGTGAATATGGAGAAATAAGAAAGCAAAATTCATTTGTTCCACCGTATTTAGCAATTTCTCTCCTGAATAGCAGATAATGATCAAATTAAACTGGTGGAATTACACGGACTGGAAAATTGAGAAAACACGTGAACAATATTTGAAATTATTGATTTTTAATTTATTGGGATAGAATGCAATTTTCGTGTAAAGATGGGAAAATAAAGGATGACACATTGTTCTATATAATACATCAGGCGTAAATAAATGCGAGAATACTCGAAACATGTTTGGATAGCGTGAGGAAAACTGAATTACCCTTGAGGAAAACTTGACATTTTTTAAAAATAATGAAACCAATTTTGCTCAAATTCGTGAATCAAAGTTGTATTTTTTCAAATAAATGGCAACCTGTTGTCGCTACTTCTCATGTCGTAATAAAGTTTATGATGGTGGCAATAGTGTCCGACAATTTTACGACTCCCTATTAGTGATTAAATCGTGACGTCGTCTCATTTTATTAAGAGATAAAACCGGAAAGACAAACATTGCCTTACACCTCTTAAACTCTCTCGTAAACCCTTTCTCCTTTTCTAAAAATAAATCACTTGTTCCAATTCAATAAAGAGTAAAATTTTCGTCGCCATAAAAATTAATTAATTAATCTTGAGTCACATTTAGTTAGCTCGATCGTAACTCAGCAAAAACCATTACACCGAGAAATCCCATTAACATATTTAAATTTTTGCTTTTTTAGATAAGGATACAGAATATCATTATGATAGCAAGTCACAAATGTTTCGATTTTTGCACCACCGAGGGTGAGGGAATGTATTTTTTATGCATGAATAAATAACGTCGCTGCTCTTTGATATTCGTAAACATTGTGCAAATAATCCGTGACGGGAATAAACGGAAAAACAAAACGAAATCGAGGCATTACACGTCTCGGATTGGTCCGTCTCTCACTGTCACAGTAACTTCGAAACAAATTAAATATGTGAATAATCATGCAAAATTTCACAATTTGAACTAATCGCTGTCGGTGTCCTGAGAACAAGTTTAAATATTTACAGAGTGGAGGTTTCACCTCCTGATTAATATAATTTGCGGAAACGTGTACAGAGTTGAAATAAGGAAAATTAGCCGATCTTAATTATGAAAGCAGACAGGTTGGATGATTTACCTTTTTGTCGATTCTAGTGGAGTCCAGAGGTGTTTGTCGCGCAATATTGTGAAGCATTTCTGTCATCCTGCCAAGCAGCAATTTCAATATAGCAGCAGGAGAACATTCTTGGGCATACTAACCCTCAAACGTTCCATACTGTTAAATTAAAAATAAATTTAGGTTTTGTTAGTGTTTTATTGTTGTTCGCGAGAAGAGAAAACTGAAGGAAATGTAATGAGTTATTTTTTACTACATAAAATACAGTGTGTCTATAAATGATTGGGGAATCAAGTTGGCTTTTAAATAATGTTAACCTGTGTTGCAAACAGACCACAATTTTTAATACGCACGATAAAGTGTCAAAAGTCAGATTAATTAACTTATGGTGTGTTCACAATCAAACTTTCATGGAAAGCTTTGACGCTAAAATAAAAAAAAACACCCGTTCTAATACTGAATACTGATAATACAATATATA